CACAATTGGTGGCTGACTAAATACTTTTTTTCCCCACTGTGTGTGTGTGTGTGTGTGTGTGTGTGTGTGTGTGTGTGTGTGTGTGTGTGTGTGTGTGTGTGTATATATATATATATATATATATATATATATATATATAAATAAATAAAACATGGGGGATTGGAAGTGATGCAGACAATTACATTGATGGAAGTTACAATCTATCTGCAATATTAAGCTGATCTACCCCCATAAAAAATTAAAATAAATAAAAAATAATGTAGCAGGCACTATAGAAAATTAACACCGGTCTCATAATGCCTCAAGCACAAGCCCACGTGCTAGTGAGTAGCCAGCTAATATTTATATTTCAAGTTTAGCCAACTTGGATCTAGGTTTAATTTCACAAGCTCTGAATTCAGCTAACAAGACAAAAACAGTTGTATTGTTAAGAACAAAACCTTCTGTCCGAACAAACTCATTGGGAGTACAGGCGTGTAGGCGTACATTTTTACTCATTTATTTTACGTTTAAATTAGCAGATACCAGCACTGCAATGGCAATTGACTGGCTCGGATTTGGCTACGCTGCAGCCATAGCCCTTGGGGGATTCATGGGTTACAAGAGAAAAGGTAGTGTCATGTCATTGATAGCGGGGCTATTGTTTGGCAGCATAGCAGCCTTTGGGGCCTTCATGATTTCAAATGACCCAACCAAGACTTTCTACTCCCTCGTTGCCTCAGGAGTGCTGACAATAGGGATGGGAATGAGATTCAAGAAATCTGGGAAAATAATGCCAGGTGGTATCATGGCAGGACTAAGTTTGCTGATGGTCCTACGACTTCTCTTCATGGGTGTGATTGTAATGTGATTTGAACAATACAACAACCAACAAAAGCAAGATGGAAAATGTCTTCGCAAGGGATGAAGTTCCATTTGCACATTGTTTGTGCTTGCCTATATGTATTTTTGTAATCATACTTAATGTTTGTACATTCTTTAAAGAACTTGATGTTGAGCCTGCAACCTATGATCATATTGCTGCTTGTCATTCCTAAAGTATGCAGCACTGGGGCAATGAGTGCACATACACAATGACTAAATGCTATGTGGATGGAGTAAAAAGGTTGTTACTTCCTTGAATAGTTGTGTTGTCTCATAGGAAATTGTTTAAGTTGAATGAACTACATTAATGGCTTACAAACAATGACTGAGTGAATTGTTATTGTAAGAAATGTATGAAAAAAATGAATGGGGGAAGAAATGTATGCACTGGATAAGAGCTTCTGCTAAATGACTAAAATGTAAATGTAAAATAAAACACAGACTAAACAGCTAGTATAAGAATCTATATTTGACAAAAATGCTGCTAGCGATACGTGGTACAGTAATGCGCACGCGACAAACTGCATTAATTTTCCAGAATGAATGTTCATTGGTACATCCATTTTAGTAGTGTCTGCTCTGCTCGAAATTTGAGGAGTTTAAACATATACAGGGTATGGTTCGAAAGGTTAACTTCTCCTCTATTACAGTAAAATAAAGTCTATGTGTTTCGGTGTCCATATGACCTATTTTGTTGGACCAAACCTCAAATGCAAATAGCGAGTTGAAACCGCATGTCAGAGAGGAAGAAGTGATCTCTCATCTTTGTTGTTGTGAGTGGTAGGGGGAGGGGCATGGGAGAATGAGGCGAAGCGAGAGGTTTCAAGAGGGTCTTCGAGCCAAAGGCAGCGCCTTGAAACATCTGTCAATAGATATTGGAACCGAAGTGAAGTACCAGAACAAAATGTTGGATGATATGGACTCAGACTTTGACTCGACGGGCGGTTTGCTGGGGGCCACCACAGGGAGAGTGAAGCGGCTTTCCAGGGGAAGCCAGACCAAGATCCTGTGCTACATGCTGCTCTTCTGCCTCTTCGTCTTCACCCTCCTCTACTGGTTTATCAAACTGAGGTGATACGTTACAGGAGGCCTCGGCTTTTCCCTCCATGCCTCTCGTGTCTCCTTCCCCTGTCTGTGCCGTAAGTCCGCCTCTGGATCAGAAGACCATGACGATGATCATAATGCCAAGGAGACTGTTAGAATGTGCTTAGTGGTTGAGAAGACGACTCCCCCCAAATCATCAATGACGATGTACAATTGAGGGTAATAATGCATGGCTGTCATTCATTTTAGACAGCCCTGATGGACTGAGTAGACACCGCCATAAGTTTACGATTGTAACGATTGTCCATTAACGATGAGGCATATTATAGATACATTTGTAACGGTGGGTTATCTATTTCATAAAATATCTGGTAAGGCTAAGCAGTAACATACAGTGGGTATAGAAAGTAACCACCCCTTTTCAAAATGTTCACCTTTTGTTGCCTTACAGCCTGAAATGAAAACACATAAAATCAGACCTTTTCCCGGCTTTGTTTGCACGCAGTGACCCACAATATCCAAGTGAAAAAAAATCATTAAAATAACTCTGAAAATTGATGCAAACTAAAACAGTAGAATACCGTATTTGGATAAGTGAACACCCCCCTGAGTTAATACTTGGGGGAACCACCTTTTGCTTGAATTACAGCCATGAGTCTCTTTGAATACGTCTCTACTAACTTTGCACACCTAGACTGTGCAATATTTGCCCGTTCTTCCTTGCAGATTTGTTCAAGCTCAGTCAAATTAGTATGAAAAATGTATGCACTCACTAATTGTAAGTCGCTCTGGATAAGAGCGTCTGCTAAATGACTAAAATGTAAATGTAAATGTTTCACTCTCGCCAAAATCCGATACAGGCCTTTGGAATATCGCACAAAAACATATTTGAATTCATCGACTTAATTCGATATATCACCCAGCCCTACTTTGCACACCTGGATTGTGCAATATTTGCCCATTATTCTTGTCAAAATTGTTCAAGTTCTGTCAAGATGTTGGGGATCATGGCTAGACAGCAATTTTCAAGTCTGGCCACTCAGGGAAATTCACTGTCTTCTTGGTTAGCAACTCCAGTGTAGATTTCTCCCTATGTTGTAGGTTATTGTCCTGCTGAAAGGTGAATTCCTCTCCCAGTGTCTGGTGTAAAGCAGACAAGCACGTTTACCTCTAGGATTTTGCCTGTACTTAGCGCCATCTGGTTTCTTTTTATCCTGAAAAACTCCCCAGTATTTGCCGATGTCAACCATACCATGATGCAGCCACCACCATGCTTGAAAATCAGTAGGCAGTTAAGTTACTCAGTGATGTGTTGTGTTTGCCCCAAAGATAAGGCTTTGCATTTAGGCCAAAATGTGTATTCCTTTGCTGTTTTTTTTTGTTTTTTTCAGTATTATTTTAGTGCCTTGTTGCATACAAGATGCATGTTTTGGAATATTTTTTATTCTGTATATTTGTATTCTTCTTTTCACTCTGTCATTTAGGTCATTTTCGTGGAGTCACTACAATGTTGATCCATCCTCAGTTTTCTACCATCACAGACATTGAACTTTGTAGCTGCTTTAAAAATCACCAATGGCCTCACCGTAACATCCCTGAGCAATTTCATTCCTGTCCTGTCCTGTAGCGCAGTTCAAAAGGACGACTGTATCTTTGATGTGTCTGGGTGGTTTAATACATAATCCACATCAGAATTATTAACTTGACCACGCTTAAAGAGATATTCAATGTCTGATTTGTTATTGTCAAAAATCATGTCAACCCCTATTATTTCACACCGAGTGAGTCCATGTACCTCATTATGTGATTTGTTAAGCCAAATTTTACTCTTGAACTAATTTAGGCTTGCTTAAACAAAGGGGATGAATACTTATGCAACAACTACACTGAACCAAAATATAAACACAACATGCAACAATTTCAAAGATTTTGCTGAGTTACAGTTCATATAAGGAAATCTGTCAATGGAAATAAATTCATTAGGATTTCACATGACTGGGCAGGGGCGGAGCCAGAGGTGGGCCAAACAAAGGGGATGCATACTTTCATTTTAGTTATATATTTCTTATTTACAGTATCTTAAAAAAATATCTATATATTATTCCACTTTGACAGAGTATTTTGTGTAGATTGTTGACAAAAAAATTATAATTAAATCCATTTTAATCCCACTTTGTAACAAAATGTGAAGAAATCCAGAATACTTTTGCAAAGTACACGTGCATGCTCACGTGTGACACATGCTCACAAGAGTGATGCTCTACCATATAATCATGATGAAATCAACACCTCCATGATGCATGGGAAAAAAACAACCACATCAATGAACAAACACTGACAAGTCTGTATGGGAAATTCCATGCCTGTTACCTCCTTGGCAGCGTGTACAGGAGCCCAGCGAGGGGTCAACGCAACACTCAGCCCCCATATGTAACAACGCCAGCGTTTGATCATCCAAAGCAATTACACTGCATTGCATATAATTGGATGTCTGCCAGTTTGGTTTTGACAATTGTTATCAGGGTTCAAAGGTCATCAAGGTTATTACCCTAACATCCTGGTAACACTGGACGGTGGCCAAAATGTGTGCGTGTGTGTCCCCCCACCCATCCCACTCAATTCTGGAGCAAAGTAGACCCACTTTCCCAGGTGCAATCTCAGCTGTCATTTTATCTCCAGCAAAATCAATGCCAATGGTGAAATCAAAGTGTCTCAGTAGCCCTGAAACGGTCATTAGGTCTACAGAGTCAAGCAGCCATTTCTGTTCCCCTCCCAGCTCAAAATGAAGACGTGTCTAGGTCCCAATGACACCCTAGACTAGGCTAGCTATAACGTAATTAGCTGACGCCATCTCCCCAAAAAACTTGCTACTCTTGGGTCAATACTGGTGAATGAGAATTTGAGAGATTCAACAAGGATTCAAGAGACTCAATACCGCTAAGAGAATCGACATTGCCAAGTTAAGATATCATAAACACCACCATTACAGCGAAATCGATAGTGTGAAATCGCCACTGCTAGCTGAGTGGCCATCGTTACCCAACATGTCGTAAACCCAACAACTACGTTACGTCAACGTTTAAGGCAACTTACTTTTTAAGTCCCCTCCCGCTGTCACGCTGCCCCGGGCTCTTGGTGTCATGGTCGTCGTCTTGAAAGTCGTCTTCGTGGTAGTCGTCGTCTTTCTCAGAGCTTCCGCGGCGGTTGCGGATGTGCAGCGGCACGTAGCCGGGTGTGGGGCCAAACACCATCAGGTCGCCCTGGCCCAGGAAACTCTTCTCCCCACAGTAGCAGAAAGCACACAGCTTTTCACTGGGGAAACATGGGAGAAACAGGGGTTAGGAAACAGGAAGTGCGCTGTATGTAAAGGTACCATGTACGTCAAATGTGTATGTAAAACGTATGTATATGTAGCAAAAAAGCTGTTAAAAAACAAAAAAAGATGTGTCCTCCAAAAGGGGGGTGGGGGGGGGGGGGGGGGTTAATAAAAAAATTAAAAATAAAGTAGTGCTCATTATTTAAAAAACTGAAGAAAATTGACAACAATTATTCTTTATGGGTTGGGGTGGAGAACTCAGGGGGCCATCCCACCTAAACAGACCTAATGGTTGAGAAACACTGTGCTAAAATCAAGCTCTATCTACATACCAACAGTGGTTCAAAACACCAATAAAATACAGTATTGTTTGACAACATCCACACAGAGACCTGAGAAGCCATTATGCTTTCAACCTGATACACTAACATACTGCCAACATGAGGTAAATGCTGACAGCTACAACTAAAAAAAGAATCAAAAAAAGAATTCACAGAGATGCAGTAAATATTTATCAGATATTTGTTTTGGAAAAACCAGGTTGGTAATGATGTCCCCTGAGAATGCTGCATTTTTTTCCAAATCCAAGAAGCCGTCCAACAGAATCCACCAAGCCGTCTAACCGATTGATCGACAACAACATTTTTGAGTCGGGTATTAAGGGATTGGCTGCGTGTGCATAGCGCTGAACACACACACACACACTCAGACACATTCAGATACCAACAAAGACACAGACATGGCCCTCGTAGGCATTTAGAATAAAAAGGTAAAGTCAGATGGATTTAATTTATACTGAACAAAAATAAACGCAACATGCAACAATTTCAACGATTTTACTGAGTTCCAGCAGCTCATATAAGGAAATCAGTCAACTGAAATAAATAAATAAATAAATAAATAAATAATAGCCAAATCTATGGATTTCACATGACTGTGCAGGGGCGCAGTCATGGGTTGGCCTGAGAGGGCATAGGCCCACCCACTGGGGAGCCAGGCCCAGCCAATCAGAATACGCTTTTCCCCACAAAAGCGCTTTATTACAGACAGAAATACTCCTCAGTTTAATCAGCTGTCTGGGTGGCTGGTCTCAGACGATCCCGCAGGTGAAGAAGCCGGATGTGGAGGTCCTGGGCTGGAGTGGTTAAACGTGGTCTGCAGTTGTGAGGCCGGTTGGACGTACTGCCAAATTCTCTAAAACAACGTTGGGAGATTGCTTATGGTAGAGAAATGACCATTCAATTCTCTGGCAACAGCCCTAGTGGACATTCCTGCAGTCAGCATGCCAATTGCACACTCCCTTAAAACTTGAGACATCTGTGGCATTGTATTGTGTGACAAAACTGCACATTTTAGAGTGGCCTTTTATTGTCCTCAGCACAAGGTTCACCTGTGTAATAATCATGCTGTTTAATCAGCTTCTTGATATGCCACAACTGTCAGGGGGATGGATTATTTTGTCAAAGGAGAAATGCTCACTAACAGGGATGTAAACAAATTTGTGCACAACATTTTCGAGAAATAAGCTTTTTGTGCATATGGAACATTTCTGGGATCGTTTATTTCAGCTCATGAAACATGGGACCAACACTTTACATGTTGCGTTTATATTTTTGTTCAGTGTAGGTTAACTGTTTAACAGTGTAGAATTCAGTCTTCATCATAATCACCACCACCATCATCATCCTCCTCCTCCCCATCACCATGTCTTTACAATCACCTATTCATTTATTTTCATCACCACCATGCAGTTTCATGGTATTTTATATATTATTATTTATATTTTTTCCATCTGAAGTGCTCAGGTCCAAACACATCCAGAGCCTTTTTGTCATCAGCAACTAAAAGTATGCATGACTTCCTGCCTCCCTCCACATGTTGCCGGGGCCTCTGTGCTGTATATTAGCGGGAGCACAATCTCTGCTAATTGGGACTAGAAAGAAAAAGCCCACCCCTTTTCCCCCTCTCTCCCCCCCTCCCTTTAATAATTACAGTAACAGCCCTGCAGTCTGCAAGCTGCCAGGTTACCGCCGAGGGCCCTGAGACCTCTTTACCCAGCCTGCTTTTCTCTGCTACCCACAATCCCCGGCGCTCAATTATTTTTGCTGCTTGTTCCCCTCCCCCTGCCCGCCTCTCTACCTCCCTCACTTACCTTCCCTGCACGCCTCCCCCTTCCACGTCCTCCCTCCTCACCGCGGTGGCTCACTCGAGCGAGCAAGCACACACATCCTCCTCCCTCCCCACCTCTCCCTGAAAAATATCCTCTCTTTTCTTTGCTTGTCTGTCCCCCCCCCCCCCCTCTCAACACACACATTTCCTCCCTCTCCACTCATACTTGTTTTATAGGGTGCACACACACACACACGCCTTGCAACCCAGCCACTGTTAACCACACACACAGCTCACTCACCTCCGCCCTCTCTCTCACACACACACAGCTGTGACTCAGCATGTCTGAAACAGTCATTTTCGCTCACTAATGGCTTCTATTTGATGGTCTCTCCTTCTCTGTAGTGTGACCCTCTCCGTCACTCACTCTCTGAGAATGGCTAGAATTTCAGTCTTACTCTCTCTGCTTCTCTTATTGGAATCTAAATTTTCCCTTTTTCTACCCTGCCACCATGTCCTTCTCTGCCTTATTCTGTCCATCTCGCACACAGACACCTCTATATCACTTTGTACCCCCTCTACTCCAACCACACTGCCCCTCCTTACCGGATTTTGGCGTGCTCCAGGGCCGAGGCAGAGGATCCTGCTGAGTCCTCTGACACAGAGCGCTGGAATAGTGGGGAGAGGGGTCTGTCGTCAGTGGGGCTGGGCAACAGGGGCACGATGACCTCCTCAACCTCCAGGACCAGCTCCTTAACTTCTGTGGGTAAAGAAGGGGGTAGAGGTTACACTGTTATTCATTGATAACATCTCAAAATGACGCAGAAAACCACATTCATAAAGAACTTAAGAATGTTTATTGACTAGAACAGACCATTTAGCCAATGGATGGCAGTAGTTTTCTCCCAAATTAGTTCAAACTATCATAATCCAGTTCAAACTACCATAATGTTTCTCTTTGGTTACACCGTTGATGTGTTTCTCTTTGGTAACACTGTTGACATGGGCAACAACACATTATTCAAAAGAAACCTGGTCTAGTTTCACTTAGGACTCTTTTAGTCACTGGATGTTAAGGACCACGTTGCCTGATCTTTTTGTTGTGACATGAGTTGCCAGACTATGCAAACAGAGCTCTATAAATTAAAACCCATTGTCTATGCAAAACTGGCGCCTCTGGCACCTCTGGGTTATTCATTGGGCACCAAACAGAGGAAAACCGGCTAAGAAATGCTTATTTTTGTTTTCCGTTGCAAAACGTTTGAAAACATTTTCCATTGCATGCCCTAATGAACACGACCCTGCTTTATCCGGCAAACAAACAAAACAAACTTTCTTTGCGCAAGTGTTACCAAAAGCAACAGTGAGATTGTATGGGCTTGGTGAATGCTTTGAGCACTGGCAACCCCTTCAGGATGAGAAAGACTGAAATCCGGTCAATTCATCTCAAAATCACAAAGAAACCTCCTGAAATAGTCACAACAACGTGTCTAGGCAAAAGGAGATGACGTGACCTTTACCCCGTGACCTTTAAAGCGCCCCACACAGCAGTTGAGAAAATAATGTCAGACCAAAACGTTGGGAATGTCGTTTCTTTTCCTGTCGTTTCGAAACTTTACGTCAACGGGACAGACGGGCAAATAACATTTATCAACAATACCTACCACTGTTGGCATGTATGGTCAGCACATTTGCTTGCTTTCTGGCTGGTATTCACTGTTACCATTTTGATTATTCATTTTCTATAGGGAAATATGGGGCTGAAGTCCTGAAAAAGTAGACAGGCCTCGACATACAGGGCTGGAAAACCTCCGGGCCAGCCAATCATTCACATCAGTGGCCCACTTGGGCCAGTGAAAAAAAATATTGTATACAATGCTATTTTCAATCTAGGTTATATGGTTAAGTGATTTTAAAAGAACAGACGAATTGCCCAAGTTGTTAATTAGATATGTAGATTTTGTCACACGCCCGCCGCAGACGTAAATAGTTTGAGCGGAAATATCACCAATCAGGCAGCAAGAGTGTGCAGCTCTCAAACATCTGGTTGTTGCGTGGATCCGCTCATATAAGAATGACAACGCTAGGGGTAAGAAAGCGGTATGAAATACGTTCCAAGTCATGATATCTACCAGTAAATGCTAAGACAAGAATGGGTATGCAAACCAAGTATTTAAAAAGTTTGGTCCGATGTCTTGGTTGAACATAGCCAGCTAGCATGCTGAAACAGTTATTTCTAAAGGCTTTCACAAAAAAACTGCAAAGTAGGCCGCCCTGGCAGAATGATATCATGATGAATTGTATCCATTGAGTGGGCATATGTTTTGCAAAACTCTGCCATTACATGTACACTGTGCTACAATGTACAGTACAAAAAAAAGCGCTAGCCAACGGTCTCTTGCTAGTTCCCCAATTAAATGTTTTATATATATTTTTTTTACTTCCAACGTGGTCTCCTGATGTGGTGTAAGCATTGTTGTGGATTTCTAATTTTGCAGTTTTTCCACAAAGTAGGCTGCCCTGGCAGAACGATATCATGATGAATTTTGCAGTTTTTCCATATAAAATAATTTTGAGAGTGAAAAAATAAAAAAATAAAATGGGAAAAAATAAGAGATTTTATAGGGCCCGACAACTGTAACCAGGTAATTGTAAATTATTTTTATTTGTTTTTAATTCGCTTACAATATCACCCTTTTTGAGATTGCGCAAAGGTTCAAACAATCAATGTAAATATGATATTGTCAAGTTAAAATGTAATTATTTGTGTATGGATGGTAGGTTATTATAGGCTACTTGCTCAGTAAGCAAATGAAAGATAAATCATCCGCTATTGAAATTAATAAATATTTTTTATTTTCCGAACCATTGACCTGGATCTGATTCTCAGCCACTCATTAAAGAGCGATAGGGGACCTTGATTTTTTTTTTTTTCCCAGCGACGACATTGCTCCACTCTGGAGATGGGGGGAGAAAAACCACATATCCTTGTTGTAGCTCTTAATGGCATTGATGCGTACACACTGCATCTGTACCCAAAACGCCATCCCTGGAGCAAAGGCAACCCTGGTCTTTGGTAGCACTTTGCATAAATAAGAGGGAATTAAAACAAGATAGGTCTATAATCTAACGCTAAACATACAGGCCTATATTGTGGGAAAGCAGATTCTGGGTAAAGGGAGACAACTCTGTGGGGTACAAGTAGAACAGGGACCTCATGCCCTTTTGACATGGACTTGGCCTAAATTACTTTCAGTTTAAGTCTGTGTGTGTGGGGGGGGACGCGAAGGACATAGGAAAATCCCACGACAAAAGCCCAGAGGCCCCAAGTGTAATTAATAGCCAGGAAATTGATCTCCGGCAAGCAGCTTTTGTGGAGGGGGGATAAAAAGCTGTCACGTGTCTCGTGGACATGATTGAGTCGTTCAAAGATGGGGTGCCTTGAACTTTAAGCCACCCTTGTTGGAAGGGGGTAGGGTGTGTGTGTGTGTGTGTTGGGGGAGAGGGGCACGTTACGTCACTTTTTGGAAGTGGAACAGATCAAGTGACGCTAAATGATGTTTGCTGGTGTGATCGTCTTCGAGGGCCCTAGGGAACAAGTACAATGAGGGCGGGACCAGGCCCCAGAGCCTTGGGTGGCCCAAGATTAGGTAAGCGGTTGGCTAAATTTAGCCCCAGGCTTTGACATGATCTCACCATGAATAGTAGTGATGGGGGAAAATATATGCAGTTACATATCGGGATATTAGTTTTACGATATATCGTATCGACAATATCGCAATATTATTTTTGCGCTAGTTGGCTGTACACCTGCACCAATTTCTGCGCTAGTTGGCAGTATTTTGCCTTCGTAGCTTGTTCTCCATCTTCTTTTTAAATAGGGAGCCAATTTGTTTTCAACACTTATTTCCATGACCGATCAAAACTGGTTTCTCATGGCTCTCTTGTCCCTCTGCAGCAGCAATATGGTGACATCGAATTGAAATAAAATCACAGTATCGAATCGCAATACATATAGAATCGTGAGAATCGCAATAGATATCGTATCGGCACCAAAGTATTGTCATAATATCGTGAGGTCCCTGGCAATTCACCAGCCCTAATGACTAGGCGTGGGTCTCAATACCAATTCTTTCTTCCTCCCCTATCCATCCTTCCCACAAAGGACTGTCTAGGAGTGGTCTGAGTGGGGAGGGGAAAACGAAAACTAGCTGTTATAGGCAGAGAGGCTTGGAAGTCTGTTATTGCTCTATTAACTTATTTTACCAGGCAAGCTGAAACTCCACCATGCAAAACCTGCTGATTGGAAGGTCCTCTGTAAATTGTATTTTCAACCAGAAACTATCAGGAAGTAACACTGATCAAATGTTTTCACACTTTTAAAGTGTTAGTTTCATCAACTGTTGTGACAGCAGCACAAATGCAGTTCAAATTACTTGGATTTCATTTCTCTCCTCTTTTTGTTGCATTTGCCAAGCTTGTGAAGCCAGTTACAGGTCATCAAAATGCCAGCAGCGAAAAGAAAAGCAACACTAACAGCTAACAGGGGAGTTGACCGCGTTCTAACATATTAGACCATCCTCTGGCAGTCGATTTACATAATGCATTCTTCGAAAGGCGGCTTGTTTTCCAAGGACCATCTACCTTAATGAACCCACATCTACAGAGATATCGGGTTAGAAATGTTTGGGAATGTGCACGGTAGGCCGGCGAGACCCCCGCGGACAGCAGCTGCAGATGGCTTTGTAAACATCCCATAACAAACCAGCAACTAAGCCTACATTTTGGCTCTGCGGACATACAAATATGAACTTTATTCATCTACCTTTTAGCAATGGATCCCTTGTGGTGGAGGATGGCACAACAAGCAACCGAAAACTGGTAGACACCCTTCAAGTAGTCTGAATTGAGAGTTCGCAATCGCGTAACAGCTCTAAAGAACTAAGGCTTAGTGATTAAAGAAGCATTTGATAAAAGGATAAAATCTCCCCCCGAATACCAACACCCGACTATCAGCAATGGCAGCCTAAACAAGCACACAAGTATGAAAACAACGGCACGCAAATATTAAAAAGAGGAACACGCATGAAGGAACACACACAGAAATAAAAACTAAAGGACGCACACACTCATAGTCAACCATGCAAGCGCACACACTGATACAGGCATGTACAGGTAGCTGCCAAAATAAAGGAAACACCAACATAAAGTGTCTTAATGGGGTGTTGGGCCACCACAAGCCAGAACAGCTTCAATGCGCCTTGGCATAGATTCTACAAGTATCTGGAACTCTACTGGAGGGATGCGACACCATTCTTCCACGAGAAATTCCATCATTTGGTGTTTTGTTGATGGTGGTGGAAAACGCTGTCTCAGGCATCGTTTCATAATCTCACATAAGTGTTGAATTGGGTTGAGATCTGGTGACTGAGACGGCCATGGCATATGGTTTACATCGTTTTCATGCTCGTCAAACCATCTAGTAACCATTGGTGCCCTGTGGATTGTGGCACTGTCATCCTATGGGGGCATAGCCATGGTAGCCAAAATAATAGCCTGCCCAGCATTTTTATACATGACCCTAAGCATGATGGGATGTTCATTGTTTAATTAATTAATTAAATCACACCTGTGTGGAAGCACCTGCTTTCAATATACTTTGTATTCCTCATTTACTCAAGTGTTCCCATTATTTTGGCAGCTACCTGTACAGTATATACACAAACACATTTCCATAACGACCGAGACAGTCAGCTCA